CAGCAGGGCTTTCTCACTGTAATGCAAGAGTAAGAAATCTGAAAACCTGGTAGCTACCCTTTTTAAAGTCGTCTATTTCCAGATGTTGATGGATGCATATCTTGCGTATCTGCCATTGCATACTGCTCTGGTAACTGATGGTCAGATGATAAGCAGATTGTGGAGAGGAGTAGAGATCCTCCTAGAATTATAAAAAATCCACCAAACCAACCACTGAACAGTGCATCCCCTATTTCCCATCTGGGCACAATCTCTGGGATGTCTTCATCCCAAAATTCCTGGATTATCGTATGCGCAACCCAAGAAACAGGGACTAAGGCCAGAACTCCAGACATCCACAGGAGTACTCCTCCAAGTAGTAACAGCTGTTTCTTCAGCTTCTGCTCTGTATCCTCCATCTTTAGGCAGTCCAAACCAAGACTAGCGATCACAAGGCTCAGAAGTCCTAGTCCATTTGATGTAGATACTAAAATCCTGGAGATCTTGAATTCTAGAGGCAAAGCTAGGAAAGAATCAAAATCTTTACACTGTGTTCCTCCTACATCTTGGACTATACAGGCTTGCCAGAGTCCCATGGTCCAAAGCTCCAGCACATTTAAGTCTAAGCTGCGATTTTTCCAGTCTGGTAAATAGTTACAGGTACCAGTTAAAATCCATCCTAGTACAGACAACGCAAATGCAACTAACTGTAGCCTGCGTCTGTGCACCGAGTTCATTTTTAGCAGTCAGAAGCGCTAAGCTGCTCACTTTTGCAGACACTGTTCTGCTCAATTCTTTGTCATACTGAACATAAGCAAAAGTTAAAACAATGCTTTATAAAGCACAAAATACTCCTCCCCCTCTGTGTTGCCTGGTTCTGTGTGCAGTGTTTGGGGGATTGAGACATAGTGCAGTAAACCAGTAGCTGAAGGGTGTGGCCACAGCTGGGCTTACCTTTCATTAGTTTTGGGTTTGGTTTTTTTTGTTTTTTTTTTTTTTTTTTAAGAAAAGCATATACTTTGCTTTCCATCAATCTGCTAAAGCATTACAGCAGTCCTGCTAGTTTTGGCATCTCACAGTTTGTTTTAAAATTAAGTTTTAACACCACATTAATACACTTCTACTTAGAGCAAATTAAGTTGTCTGCTTTATGGCCAGTTAAGTATCATTTGTTTAAAGTCAGAGGTTACACATTCAGAACAACATGTTGCTCTAAGTGAAGGGAGCTTAAGGAGCCTTTGATAGGATGCATAATGCCTCAGTACCTGTATCAGAAGAAGATAGTGTACGTATTTTTTTGAAGCAGCATTTCTCAGCCTGGTTTTGGTGCATAAAGTATGCAGGTGCCAGAAGCACTTAGAATAACTTGTATGGGCAGCTTAATGCGCTAGACTGGGAAAACACAACTTACTGGGTACAAAGCACCCACCCCATAACACCCCATGCACAAAAAGACATCTGCGAGGCTTGCTAGAACTTCAGAAATCTACAGTTTTCTTAGCAGAGCAACTTCCAAGTACACAGAAAAAAAGTTTGATGCAATGTGTGTATTTAGACAGTTGAGGATGTGAAAAACAAGATCTCAAGTTTGTACGTCACTCCATTAGCAAATGGAAAATTGCAACAGGCAGTCAAGCTTTGAGGCTCATTTAATTGGTTATGTATGAAAAGGAAGCATATTTTGGTTACAAGCCAAGCTGTAAGGGAACATGCATATTCATTTTCAGGATTTTACAGTGCAGTTGAGAAAGCAAAAGCACCTTTTCTGCACAGCCTATGAAAACTTCAGCATTCTGTTGGGAAACAAAGTTCTAAACAGTTCTGCAGGTGAGAAAACACACCACCTTCCAATACCAGTTATGGAGAAAACAGACATAAGTTTAGGAAATCAGCTAGGTAACAAAGAGTCCTTTGAATTACTACTGGAACAAGCTTCTGGCTTGCACTAGGGTTTGAAAAAGATAGGGCAGTCTTTCTGCACTACTTCAAACCTTCCATTTTAAGGCCTAGTTTCAGTTTCCAAGTGTTGACACTGATCTTGCTGTTCTGCTACTGCATAATGGACTGAAGATGGATGGACTTCAGTTGAACAGACTGTGCAATTCAGTAGGGATCCTCCTAATATAAGACAAAAACCAGCAAGCCAGCCAACAAATAACGCTTCCCCAAAATCCCACCTGGGAACAATATCTGGTATATTCTCATCCCAAAATTCCTGGACTGTGGAATGGGCAACCCAAGAAACCGGGACAATAGCTGTAATCCCCGATATCCAGAAGAGCATTCCTCCAAAGAGCAACAGCCGTTTCTTTTGTTCCTGTTGTCTTTCACCAATTTTCAAACAGTCCAACCCAAAGCCCGAGAGCAAGAGGCCCAAAAGCCCCGATCCATTGGAAAAAACCATCAAAATCCTAGAAATCCTGAGCTCTGGAGGCAAAGCTAGGAACGAATCGAAGTCCTTGCACTGCATTCCCCCTTCTTCCTGGACAACACAAGCTTGCCAGAGTCCCATGGTCCAGATCTCCAGTTCATTCAGTTCCAAGTTAAGATTTTTCCACTGGGGTAAATAGGTGGTGAGGCAGGACAGGACCCATCCCAACAGAGAGAACACAATGCCACTGCATTGCATCATTGGTCGATAGACCAAGGCCATTGTAAGAGCACAGTCCCAACAGCCTGAGGAGGAAGGTCTCCCCGGCAGTTCTGTAACAACTGCTACCTTGAGTGATGGTGGAAGCTATGATGATTTTAGTTCTCTGCTGCCCCGAATATAAGCCCTTGCTATTAACCCTTTGTAGGCTCTGAAACACTTTTTTGTTCTTCACGAATATAAAGTTTCACATAAAGGACGAAGGACTTCACTAAACCACGAGTTAGGCTTTCCGATAAGGATTTGATCTGTTACCTTCCAATTTGCTTGGTAAAATTATATCCCAATGCCTGATGATTACAAGCCTGAGGATGAACAAAGAGGGCTCTATGACCCCTCACCCTAAAACACAACAGAAATCTTTGTGCTTCAATACGGATTAATTAGATTTTAAGTGGTGATAAAAAGTCAGCTCTGTGTGCAACAGGACTTCATTGTAATAGCTAAATTTGAGATTTCAGGGATGTAAATCAAGGCCTTGTAAAGAAAGGTAGACTGTTTGCCTATAATCTTTATTCTTAGGCTTCCTCAACATACATAATGGCTTATCTTCCACTGCCCTGTTTTATGTCCCCAGCACTGTAAAAGACGCTTTGTAAAAGATCCTTACGTTTCACATTTTCTACATTCATTTCCTTTAAAATGGGCTTTGTTTTGACTGACTCTTAAGGGGAAAAGGAGACGGGTATGGTGAAAGTACCATAGAAAATGAAATCCTAGACATCCCTCCATCATAATGAACCCAGGCAGATCATCAGCCAGCGTAAACTTTACCTGCCCCAGGACTTCAGCAACACCATGGTAGCAGCTTACACCAGCTCAGTGTCCCCTTTCCTAGGGCCCATGTCCCAGATGGCACAGAGTGTATACGCTCAGTGTCTAACAACATTTGGCACTCAATGCTCTAATGCCTAGTACCCTTCTGATCAAAGCAAGATACCGTTATGCCATTACCCCATTAGGAAACCCTGCTTTTTTCCTGCTCTCGTGTCAGCTACACTTGTGCTTGCCTACAGGGTCAGCAAGGAGAACATTTGCCTGCTACTCCCCTCCACAGACGTAACAGCACAGCCTGTATGGGAGGGAGCTGAGCAGCGTGCACATGTGCGTGACCCAGAGACGTTTTCCAGTCTTTCCTGACTTTGTTTCCTAGATGTGATAAGGTATTCATCTGCATATTTTAATTCTTCGTTGCTCAAAATGTGTTATCAGGCAATGGAAAAACATGACACTGCTTTTGAAGGTTTCCAAAATCCTGAAGGGTATCCTTAAGAAATTTCACAGTGTGAAGATCTCTTCTTCCTCATTTCTGTCTTGAGTCTTCATTTCTAACCCTTGTGGTTTTCCTGTCACAAGCTGTGAAGAGCCAACACAAGGAAAGAGGATCTATTTCCCTTTCGCTTGTGTACCAACCCAGTCCAATGGCTTACACCTGGTCAAAAAATTACCATGCGCGAGAGCAGGAATCACCAAGGATATTACTGACAACATCAGGAACAAATTGACGCAAGCAAGGCCCTAACTTTGGCCATCCACTAGGCAAAAGATGATGGCAAAAGATGACGACAAAGGACTAACCCTGCATTCATTCAAACTCTAGACTGTATTTTCAGATCTGGCAGTGTCGTTTCTCTCCCCTTTCTCTGTTCAGAGCAAGAATGCTAGTTCTGGAAATCATCACAACATTCAATGAGAAACTCCATAATGCCATTTGAATAATTCTTTACATAAACAACTACACTTCAGGAGTGCTTCTGTTCATTCAGGGGCTACATGCTTATTTGATTTTAGAACCACGGTTACTGCCAGACTAGTACTGCAAACCTGTTGTGCTTCTCTTGTCTGTGAACATTTAACATTTTCTTCTCTGCTCTTAATTCCAACAGTCAATACAGTGTGAGAGCACAAGATCAGGCATGAGAAGTCCATTCATTTTGCTAGTGTTGACCACAGCTGGAGCAGTCTGCCAGCCTTTAAATTTTAGCAATCAGCAGCATTCAGACTGCTGCATCAGTAAGATCTGCCAATTAAGTTCTGCAACTTACTATTAACCATGCCCCAAACTTAGAGCAATCAAAGCTTCCTTAACACTATCCTGTGAGAGACTATAAAAGAATCCTTGTTCTTCCAGCTGGGGGAGGGGGGGGATGGGACAGCAGGGACGGGATGGGACGGGACGACAACTAAGACTTGCCTTGTCACCAGGATACTAACAAGTTCTGAAATGCCTTTACTTGGAACTTACTGATCTTATGAAAATCTCAGCAAACCCATAAACAAAAAAAGATCTTCCAGCTGAACTGACATATATAAATTCTCGGGTTGGTAACTGCCTTAGTCCTATTTCCCTTGTCCTTCTTCCACACTTTTTCTTCCCACCATTATTTCTTTCTCTCACATCTAAAAATGTCTCATTCCCAAAATAATTTTATTTTGGTAGACTTGTGCCTACACAGAAGGTAACATGTCAGAGTTACTGCAAAGCCTAAGGGCTAGAATTGGGCTCCCTTTGGTTTCTGCCCTACTGCTCATAAACCCAGGGTGCACTGTTGCATTGCAATGACAAAAAACATCTTCCAACATCTGCACAGCCTGAAACATCAGATCATCTCAAGGGGTTTCAGTGGAGATGGCCACTGCCCCCCAGGCTGGTGGGCAGGGAAACTGCCTGCCAGGGACCTCCCCCCGGCCAGTGCCACGGGGCCCGCGCAGAAGCGAGCTGCTCCAGGACAACTCTGCCCCTTCTCCTTCCTCTGCTCGCCTTGCCAGCCCCTGCAGCAAGGACTGTGCTTTAACACAAGCCTGTCAAGAAGAAAAGGAAGAGTGGGTACGGCTATCACTGACCAGTGTGCTTTCAGCTAAGGAAGGTGAGGATGAATTTAGAGAGGTTTTTGACTGGGTTTAGAGCATTTTCTTCTCCCCACCCCTGACTTTAAAGTGTTGGTCATCACATGATTGATTCAAAGTAACTCCAAGCATCATTTTGCAAACTGATTTTGACTAGGCTAAAGCAGAATGGGGGTGGTCAGCATGCATATCATTTTATGCAGGTAAGTGCATTAAATTTTTACTCTCCATAAAACCATT